CCTTCCGCCGGTGCTTCCAACAATGGCAGGATCGATGGAGCAAGTGTGTGTGCGCGCAAAGGTTCCATTTTGAAGGTGATTAGGTAAGCGTTGCCATATGTCCCACTATTACAGTGCTGTACCACAAATCCGGGAACTTTTTGACTGCCCTTGGTAGTGTTATCTATAGTAATTAGTTTCTGATATATTGCCCAGAATCCCTTCTGGATGAATAAATCTTCAATGGGTCTTGAACCTAGGAGAGTTATTTGGGATTGCAATCTTAGTTCCTGTGATCTTCTCACCAAAACAAACAACTTTGATTTCGGGGCTGTTCTTCTATTATGTTTAATTTCCCACGTACAGAAACCATCATTACTGGGTCTCAAATTCAGGACAGTTTTGGGGGGTTGTAGCCTATTTTTCTCTAATCTCCTCTTCAAAACAAATAACTGAGGTACTGGTGCTGTTCTTCCACTTTTTAATGAATAAAACACAAACCCACAATTTCAATTTTAGGTGATCACAAAGTATCATGATTTACTTGAATTTTATTTCAAATCAATATCATTTTACTGTACTTTGTTTCCTGATCTCAAAATTTGTTAATTCAAATTGCTAACACTGCATAGCAGGCTATGGGTGGGATTTTGTCACTTCATGTTCCACCAAGTTACTAATTTCAAAAGTTTCATCTCTAATTCTAGTGAATAACATGCAATCAACACTTTCACATTTTTAATACTGAACACATTTTAAATTACTTATAAATCCAGTTCAGCAAACTGGTTTTGTACAACTTTAAGTAGTTCTGACTGACATGAATTATACGAGGTGCGATCAGAAAGTTTCAAGACTGCGCTTATAAAAACCCGTACACTTATCTCAGGTATTAAATTCATCCATCACCCTCGACGTAGTTCCCCTGGGAGTGAACACAACGATTCCAGCGCCGCTGCCAAGCCTGGATGCATCCCTGGAAATCTTTCTTTGTCAACCTGTCAAGCACCATCTGCGATTCTGCCTGAATCTCTTCTATCGTCTCAAATCTCCTTCCCTTTAGCTGAATTTTCATCTTTGGGAAGAGGAAGAAGTCACACGGCGAATAAGGAGGGTGCGGGATGACGGCCATGGTGTTTGAGGCCAAAAACTGCCGAACTTTGAGGGCGGTGTGCGCTGGCGCGTTGTCATGATCCGTCGCATGTGGAGTTCTTCCTTTAGAATCAGCTGACAGGTCCCATAGCCTACCCCAACAATGTCGCACAAGTCGTAGATGGTACGACGTCGAGATGCGTCGCCTGTGGAGTTCTTCCTTTAGAATCAGCTGACATGTCCCATAGCCTATCCCAACAATGTCGCATTAGTCGTTGATGGTACGACGTCGATCTTCGTAACATTTTCGGGCGTTGTGCTCGAAGATGGTCGTCCAGAACGCTCGTCATCATCGACAGGGGTTCGGCCATTTTTAAAACGTGAATGCCACCCAAAAGTTTGTGCACGACCCATTGCGGACTCCCCAAATGCTTGCTTTAGCATTTCATAGGTTTCCGTAGCCGTTTTGGCGAGTCTTTGGCAAAATTTGATGCACACGCCATTCCGAAATCGCAGGAGGGTCGGTGTAGTGCACTACCAAAACGCCCGTAACTAAGAAACAAATATTAATTCGATGATGCCAGCTGGCACACTGATTCACTATGAATGTAGACCGCACCCCCTAGCGGCAGAAGCTCGTCCTACTTCCGGTTCGCCCTGTATTGACACAGTCTTGAAACTTTCTGATCGCACCTCGTATATCCTGAAAGAAATACACATTGAGGGTAATGAGTTTTCAGGTTTTCATGACAGCAGGTGTGAAGGTAACTGACTGACTTCTGGGTTGTTATACGAAGTGCTATCCAAAAGATCAGGGAATTTGCCCATAAAAAATTGCTTATCATAACCCCTAGTTTCCACCGTCTCCTTCAAAGTAGTCCCTTTGGTCATGGATTCAGCGATCCTAGCGTTTTTCCCCATGATTCCATGCATCCCTCGAAGTCTTCAAGTGTGAGTGTTTTAAGCACCTCCTGAGATTCTGCCTGGATCTCCTCAATTGTGTCAAAACGACGGCCTTTCAATCGAAATTTCATTTTGGGGAACAGGAAAAAGTCGCGGGGGGCGAGGTCAGGCGAATAGGGTGGGTGGGGAATCACTGGAAGCCAAAAACTGCCGAACAACGAGCGATGTGTGGGCGGGCGCGTTGTCGTGGTGGAGAACCCAGCTGTTGTTCTCCCACTTTTCCGGACGTTTGCCCGTAATGGTCTCCGTAGCCGCTTCAAAACTTCACAATAAAACTTCCCGTTGACGGTTTGATCGCCTCTCGAACTTTCTGCGATGTTTTCCGGTGTTGTGCTTGTCGATGGTCGTCCTGAACGCTCATCGTCGTCGACAGACGTTCGTCCATCCTTAAAGCGTTTGTACCACAAAAAAGTTTTACTTTGACTCACAGCATTCTCACCAAATGCTTCCACACTCATGCGGTGGGTTTCTGCAGCAGTTTTTTTAAGATTAAGGCAAAATTTGATGCAGATTCTTTGCTCCTTAAAATCTGCCATTTATACAGGTTTAAAAAATCGCCGAACCACTACAACACAACGTTACGAAAACGCACGAGACTCAAGAACGCGGCCTCTCGCCTTCACGGCTGTTGGCACACTAATTCACAAAGGGTACTGCTCGCCCCATCTAGCGGTTCGCGCGTGGAATTCAAATTCCCCGAACTTTTGGGTAGCACCTCGTACCATGTCTGACTTTGTACAAAATCTGATCTGTGTGAACACTCTTAATACATCTGCACAGACAGAAGTGAAAACGGCACAAATCTGAGACATGTGAAAATCAACATTACCTGAGTAGCATGTATGTGTGCGCGCGCATGTGCATAAGAATGTGTGTCTGTATGTCTCTGTAATATCTCAAGGTACCTTACACCAAATATGGCACTGTGTCAACTACTATTGAGTGAGAATAATTTGTGTTTTACTGCACTGAAAATTGTCTAGCTAAGGCTATTTATTCAGTGTTGTACAAAAATAAATAGAGGGGGATTAAATATATAGCCAATAGGCATTAAAATGTAATCTTATAGACATGCATAACATTTGAAATGTGTATTCATTTAATATGCATGGACATTTGTGCCTATTTCTTCTTTACTTTTCAATTTTTCAATTACAAACACATACACTCAGCCGACCTTGAGTTTATGATATCAACACTCACATAATTCCTTTTTATATACAGTCTTTGCAACAAAAACAAGCACTTCAAATTTCCTAAGTCCCAAACTGGTAGTGATGTAATTGTACAGGTTGCATCATAATTGCAGTCATTTGTCACATTCAAATACAGAACTCTTAAATTAGATTGATGATAAACAATAAATCACAGGAAAATAAAAGAATATTGCTTCCTTCACACTTCTAGCCTCACCAATGCATCAAAAATCATAGTGATAATGTGAATCATAATACTGAAGGTTACTGTTTGCTTGTTTACAAATAGATACTGGAGTGTACAGATAAACAACAATAAGAAATTAATTTTTAAACATCACAATCTGCACATTTCAGAATACATTTTCAGTTGCTCTTGGTATGAGTTTTACAAAGAAACTTTGAAGTATATATAGTGAAATAAATGACAAGCACAAAATGTTAATAATTAGGCCAACTGTGTAAATAGAACACACATTAAAAATACATTTATATACTAGGACTTGAACTAGTAAATATGATGCCAGTCCCCACTATAGTAATTGGTCTACAAGAAAACATGGGCAACCAACAAAAGCAGAGCTTTCATCCCTCTCTTCATTTCTACAGACTAGAACAGTCATTAATATTCATTCGTGTCTTTTTTAAAATTTGGCAGATATGCTGATATTCTTTTAATAAACATCTAACAAGAATCATTGTAGGAAATGGAAGGTATAGAAAAGCCGCATACATACCAATAAAAGGAGATTAAAAACGACTATAATTACGATGGCAGCTTAAGACCCTGGCCACACGACTGTTGCAACAGACGTAGATGAGGACGCCACACGAGCACAGTGTGATGCGTCAGTTGCCCCAATGGAGCTGGAAGAAGCTGTCGCGTACTGTGGTCTTGCCCTTCATAATTCTATGACGGACGTCACGATGTGCGTTACAACGGACGTACTTTGTACGGTCGTGTGGCCCCAGCCTTAAGCTTACCTCACCCTCACATATAGTACCAAACTCTGAAAATACATTACCCAATTCCAGTGTCTCCTTGGTTATACTTGCAATTTTGCCATATGCAACAGTATATGCTGCAACCCCAACAGAGTATTCAGAGTAGGCCAACAAGTTATTTAATACAACAAACGTTTCCTTTGTTTTAACTTGTCCCTTTGATGCATTGTTTGACTTGTATCCACCTTTGCAGGACTTGTATTTGTTATGCTGAAAGAAATAAAGTTTGCATAAAATTATCAGAGAAGGCAAAAAACAAAGACAATCCACTAGCACAGAACAAAGTCAAAGTGCTCATTATTATAACTCACATGAAGAAATGTTACAAGAAAACAACTTCAGTGTCAAAAAGTCTATCATTTGATAAATGACTTCTGTTTTCCTTACACTAGGCTGTCATTAATGAGATATAATGCAGTAAGCATATCAGTTATTTTAAATGCTACAAACAGCATGCAAATGTTATTGGAAAGAAAATACAACGTGGCATTTTTAACATATATTTAATTAATCTGGTCCAAAGTTATTGCAATATAGAATAATACAAAAATCATTCCTGTAAATTTGTTTTATTAAGACTGGGAAAATAACATTATTATCAACTTAAAAAACAATGCTGTAACTTGGCATTTAAAGAAGATTTTAATAACTTTAAAAACTTATATTACAACCCTATTAATGTATTAACTTATGTGTTAAAATTACAAAGGCAGTCAGATTGGAAAGTCCATTTCTGAGAAATTAATGTTATTAGGATGGAGCAACATTCACTTCAGTCACCAGCTTCCAGAGCATCTAACAATATCCCCGGAGGTGCAGTAGGCCAATTGAAATTCAGATGAATGGTTTGGGTTCAGATGCCAGGATGGAGTGGAAGGCACATCACAAGAAATCCAAAAGAGATTGGAGTTTCAAAATGGCAGATAAAGTACAAGTAACCACTTGAAGTAAAATAGAAGCTAATGAATATTTCAAATATAAAGGGTTCTGAAGATAGTGTACTACATTAAAAATTACTGGATTTCTGGACTTTGTTCATTGTCTGATATTAAAAAACACATATCGTTTTGGAAACTGGAACTGTTTCAGTCACCAGATAAAATGAAGAGTGAGAAGGGGCACCTACTCAGTTGCGTCTATTAGAAGAAACTGAGCTCAGTCACTGGTCAATTTAAGTTAGAAAACAACTACAACCTCAGATCAGGTTCTGTCAATGGAAAATTATAAGAAATTGCACAGTGGAAATTGTGGAAATGTATATGAAGACCAACCATGGCAGAAAGGAAAGAAGGAATTAAATGCCTCAAACCAAACTGAAAAAGACCCTGATGTCAGGGGCTTACACTGTTGTTTCTTCAACTTAAGTTATCCAGTGATTGATGTCAGATCTTTCTCATGGATGCAACTAAGTAGGTGCCCCATCACCTTATTGATTCAACCTGGTGTTTTCCCAGTCATCAAGTCCATAGCCAGTCACTATACTTATTGAGCTATGCCAGCTCATGAACAGAGTAATCAAAATTTGCATGTCCATAAAATGTGTTAAAGTGCCTTTCACAGATCTCCTGAGAAAGCAGCCAGCATCAGGGACAGCACTGACTAAGTCAATGCCATCAACTACACAGAAGAAAAAATAACTTAGCATGCTCCTCATGATTGAAAGATATGAGGTTTAAAACTTAATCAAAGGAAATCTCTGTGGCCTGCAAACACTCAGATGTGGCTTCAGCATATTTTCAGATGTATTATCTTAAATTGCATGAGAATAGGTGATTCAAATGCCACACTACAGCATTGCCACCTGGACTTTAGACCTGAGATTAATAATTTAATAGTACACTAGTGTACTGTATGATCGGCTGGATTGAGCATAAGCCAGGATGCATGGGCTGTAAAGGTTAAATGTCAACAATTTAGCCACAAAACTTGATCTGTAATATAAACTGAATGAAGGTATCTTACATGATTATCTGAATTCTTTAAACTGGTGATATAATATAGAACTGTTCCATATAAAATATTTTAGTGCAGGACAATCCTAACAAATCTCTGTCTAAACACCACTCACTATGTGTTTCAAATGAGGGTTATGTGCACTAAAAAAAGCTACTCGTAATGTAACTGCAGTATTAAAAGGCAACTTGAAATTTGCCTTAAATCTCAAATTGTAAAAACTGTTGTGTTAAACAAAAAAGGAAAAGTAAATGTACAGAGTGGTACCAACAAAAGCTTTAATAATTTCTGTGTATAGTGAGTGAGCAAGTGAGTGAATACATGAGTGAGTGAATGTGGAAGCACAAAATGCATAAAAACATACCCTGTAGCTGACATGATAATGTTTGATGATTCCATTAGGTTTACTTGGAGCACCCCAAGATACATTCAATGCAGTTGAATTTAGTGGCATTACAGCAAGTGATGACACTTCAGAGGGAGCTACAAAACACACATACACAGTAAGCCGCTGTTTATCAAAATGTTTCAGGAAACTACAATTATAATTGTAAATCTTATTTAACATTTTGTAATCCTTTGTCAAGCACTTTTAAAACCATGCTCCACAGCAATTCTGACTGCAGTCAAATAATAACAACAACAACAGCAATAATTAATTTCAAATTAATTTATAAAAGTTGTTTGCCAACAGCAAGGAACCAAAATTGAACCATCACCACTGAACACATTCTCAGATCATGGCACTACACGAAGGATAAGAAGTAGTTCCATGTCCTGCACTTAACTTACCTTGCTATACATTGCACAGAAAATTGGGTGACTCAAGAAAGCATACGGAATAATAAGGATGGACAAAAGGATTTCCACAAAACCTAAATTAATTTTCCTCTTTAAATAATAGAACATGAATCTAAAACTTTAATGTTTATTACACTTGATTAAATATGTGTTTCAACTTACCACTTTCAAGGGTTGTTATGTTGCCTGCAAGAATTAACATATTCCCATACCACAGTGTCCAACTATAATCTGTAAATGGTTTCAGGTCCTTCTTCTTAAAAGGAAACTGTGACATATTTTGAGGGTCAGAGGTCTTACTTCCTTTTTCTTTGACATCTACAATATATGAACCTGAAGGACAGTGATGAGTAGATTTCTGAAAATGTATAATGCATTTAAGATGGAAACCTCAAACAATCTGACTGCAATGTATCTAGTTGCAAAAGGCATAGTTAACTCTGGCAAGTAGCACTGTATAGATTACCAGTCAGCAATATTACACCAAGTCATAATAAAATTGAAGACGGGTGTCTTCTAGGTTGTTGTGTCATGTAGTCTGGTAGAAGTTTCTTCTACCAGACTACCCAGAAGACAGCCACCTTCAAACTCACTCAAATCCTACACACATTAAAATTAATATATAATGTAATGTAATTTGAACATGTGATGGATGGCGGACTGAACAGAAATGAGTGTTGACATTTGAGCCAGCACATTATGATGTTAAACCCTTTTCAGTAGCCTGAAACCTGATTTATCAACACTCTACAGACTTTAGTTACCAAAGAAAGTCTGGAATCTCGTTAGATCTAATTTAATATTTGTATAAAGCAAGTGGATTCTGTTTTACATGAGTTATTCTTTCATTCAGATAAAATTTAGATCTTTATTGATTTTAAGGTTTGATAAGTCTAACAAATGGTTAAATAAAGGATGTAGGTAGAATAGGAAACCAATAACTGGTGGAGTAATTTTAAAAAATTAACTACAGGTCAAACCCAGACAAAGCACTCCTCTGCATACAGAGTGCTTGGAAAGAAATGGTATATAAAACACTGCAGGGAACTTTAAAACACTCAGTTAGTGGCCTTCCAGGTTATGATACTCTCTATAGATGTGTTGTATTTGGTTGTCAACAATTTGGATGAATCTACTGCCTCCTTTCTTGTGGCAGAATTAATCCCCAAATTTCATATAACTTTAAAAAGATTTCTATAGCTAATCTTAAATAAAATTGTGAAAGTAGAACTTCCACTTACCTGCCAACTTATTTGGAAGCCATAATTAAGAGGTTGTACATCCGCTTTATCAGGATCTGTAAGTACATTGTATTAATTATGCTTAATAAAATTACTTAGAATACTTCCATTCAATCTTAAACATGACAAATTTGCAACTTACGGATACAAGATGTGTTGTACACAGCATGTGGTATATCAGTGCCATAATAACCTGTTCCTGTCTCATCAATCAGAACAACTCTTACTCCATAGCCTGATCCAACTTCTAATTTAGGTATTTCATGCTGTTTTACTTTGGCACTGTATGCAAATGTACCAAATGTAATCCAACTTCCTTCTTGATTAGCACTTTCAGCCTTCTGTGAAGGAGTTCAGAATAAAAAATTAAGTAATGTTTGAAGCTTTAATAGAGAATAAATGTACTAAATCACACAGTCACATCAAGACTGAGAAAAAATTTGTAACTGAAATTTAATGTAGCTGATTAATAAGATTTTAGTGCAGATAAAAATCTCTGCTACTATCAAACTCATTTTTGCTTCAATATGAAATGAGAAAGGTCCAAGGAAACCAGGTGGGACTGAAATTGAATAGAACACATCAGCTTCTGGTCTATGCCATGATGTAAATCTCCTGGGAGATAGCATAAATACCATAAAGAAAATAATGAAGTTCTAACTGATTCTAGTAAGGAGGAGTCTAGAAGTAAACATAGACAAAACTAAGTATATGTTGATGTCTTGTCACCATAATGCAGGGCAAAACTATAATATAAAGATAGCTAATGGATTCTTTGAAAAATTGGCAAGGTTTGGATATTTGGGAGTGACAGTAAAAATTCAAAATTTTGATTCATGACCAAATAAATAGCAGATTAAATTCAAGTAATGCTTTCTACCATTCAGTTCAGAACCTTTTGTCTTTTTGTCTGCTGTCTAAAAACATAAATATTAAAATACACAAAACTATAATTTTACCTGTAGTTCTGTATGGGTGTGAAACTTTGTCTCTAACACTAAGGGAGGAATGTAGACTAAGGGTGTTTGAGAACAGAGTGCAGAGGAAAATATTTGGACCTAAGAGAGATGAACTACTGGGAGGCTAGAGAAAGTTGCATAATGAGGAGATTCATAAGTTGTACTCCTCATTAAATATAATTAGACTCATCAAGTCAAGGAGGATGAGATGTGGAGGGCATGTAGCCCACATGAGAAAGAACAGTAGTGCACACAGTGATTTTGTGGGCAAACCACAAGGAAAGACCCAGACATAGGCAGTGGATAATAATAAAATGGATGTTAGAAAAGTAGGATTGGGTGGTATGGACTGGATTCATCTGGGTGAGGATAGGAAACAGTGGCAAGCTCTTGTAAAAATGGTAATGAACCTTTGAGTTCCATAAAATATTGGAAATTTCTTGAATGGCTGAGGAGCTGCTGGTTTCTCTGGAAGGGCTCGGCTCAACATAAGTATCATGCCCCTTTTAAGATGATCATGCAACTAGTATGTCAACTACTAAAATCATCAACTTTTGGATACACATACAAACACAGTTATAAAAAATGCATTTATGATGAATGTACATGGATAAAATTAGGGTGGAAGATAATCTTCAATCACTTATATGAATTTAGATCTTAAATTTTCAACTCAGATCGCACAGAGTATAATTTGGATCACACCGAACAACTCTTTCACCAATGATTGATTTGTATAAAATTTCATGCATTCATTGCCACTGATTGCATTTATCCTTATATAGCATATGTGCCTACTACCAACAGAAGCTGTACCATGCTAGGTAGATGAACTAAGCCACGTGTCTACCTCTCCTCTCTCTTTTATATTTTGTCTACCTTTCAACCTACAATGATACAATATTTATGTACATATGCCTATTTCTTCTTCCTCTTCCCTTCAATTTAGATCTCTGCCTTGTATCTTCCTGCATGAATGTCCCTGGTCTTCGTGATTGTAATGGTATCTTTCCCACTCACAAAGAGACTTATGATCCCTTAACTATAGTTGGGCTTTTCTAAATAAGCACCTTTATAATATCTCACACTTCTGCTCAGTTTAATCTCTTTCTTCTCATTTCATGTTTAGTTTTATTCTTATCATTTTGAGTTGAACTGAAACACTTTCTCTGTGGTCTACCTCATATATATTACTGTGGCTAATATGGAATTTCCAAGAACATGGATACTGCCTATCTCACAGGCAATTTTGTAAACGGTGGTGACCCTTGGCTTCCACAAAAGAAAGATAATGTCTTGACTACTTTAGCAAATATTAACTTAGCTTGTATGTAACATCCTGTTGTGGTTTGTTGAATTAACCTTTAGAATATCTAGCTATTTTTATCACTGTACACCCTGCTGGCCCAATTTAAATCCTACAGTCACACTATGCCGTTCATGTTTTTTTATAGAGTACAGAAAAACTAACTTAAGGCACAGTGACAGAATATAAACTTTGGAAAAGACCTAATTAGGTCTTCAAAATTACTCATGTTTGTTTCTTTTGGCATCATAATATCAAACATGTTAGTTATTGATAGTGTTGAAACTAATTACAGATCAAAAATTGAGAAGCTGGAAAGAATGTTAGATAATTCAATGGCACAACATGAAGAAGTGCTGGAGACAATAAATCTAACATAGACATGTTGCAAATACCATTAAAAAATTAGAAACATTTGATGATTTTTGGAATAGACAAATACTCATGAGCCATATTTTGATGCATATAAAATAACTATGGTTTTTTGGAATGATAAGGAAGATACATAACAAATTGGCATACAGAAAAAACAATTAGAATAACAAGAAGAGGTGGAACAACTGATTTTGTCAGATTCACTTCATATTCAAATAAATCAGAACTACCACTTTGGCTCAATCACATATAGGGATTGAACAGCATCACAATGTATGGAGAATATAAATATGTAGAGTTTATTCAACACCTGAATGGTTCAAAATCAGAGCGCACAATGATACTCATATTACTTGGACTGTGTTAAATAGATTATTCTGACTGAAAGAGACTGAGGCCAAATGGACAACACCAAAATGTTACATTCCAGGGAGAACCAGAGATAAAGAAGCAGGAAAGAAAATGAATAGAAACTCAAGGAGGACATAGGGCAAGTACAGGTGAACTGATCATATAGAGAAATCGTGCCATGGAAAAGAATGCTGGCAGGTCAGGAAGTGACATTACAAACTGGCTTGACATTGCAGGGAAGACAGTCTACATATGAAGCAGCAGGAGGAATGTCTTGAGTAAAACTGTGTTAACAGAAGTCTGGTTTAAGTTTCCATCAGGCAATACAACCTAAGAAACAGGATGACATCAATGTAATGAAGGAGGTTAAGTGAATATTTTATACAACTGGAAGGAGACAGCAACTGTAAGCAGATTTCATTTTTGAACAACAATACATGACTGTTGATGGGTTGCATTTTAAATGTTAGACTCTGTAAAAATGTCATACCTTGCCAGTACCAATGATTGTCTTTTATATGTACCAGTTCTTCAAACATCATAATTTTACTGAGCAGAATACATCGTGTTTCTATTATCATTCATAAAAGTAATTCCTTTCCTTCTTGTAAATTCTATTACTTACCACATATTGTACATGATACTTAGTAGGTTTAATGTCTCCAGAAATACTGATGTTGTCTAATGTGATAGTTATTGAAGTTAGAGTGTGTGAGATAAAACGTGGTGCTTCATCAAATACTGGATATTCTATGGAATAGAAACAATATTATTAGTACCATAGTATCATTTGTAATGAAAAAAATAAATATATCAAATGCTTTAAAGAGCATATCAAATGGATGCTCTTGAATATTTGCAAGAGGAACAATTCCAAACAATCTGCAATTTGCAGTACAAGTCTGAAAATTTTCTATTATTCCTCATTTTCCTGGAATTCTTTGTAAATCTTATTAATAGATGAAAAATGATTCTTTTCAAAATGCTGAATTTTTTTCATTTTCTGATTTAACAGCTATGACAGGTTAAGGTAAGAAATTAAAAGTAAACGGTGTATACTAATATCACTTACAAATACATATATATCGGTGTCATTGCCTCAGAAAATTCAATAATCACAATCACATTAATATTAATTATTAACTCATCAACTATGTTACAAAGACTCACGATAACAATTAGAAAGTCACACTCATCAAACTCAAAATGAACAGATACACAACAGATGACACCCATACATAACCCTGGAATCTACACATATATACCGTCCAGTCACTTAAATGTTATTGTTTGAACTGTGTGTGTCAGATGAATGAAAACCCACTCAGGGTCAGGGTGGAGTGACCTATCTCTAGTCAAGCCCTGTTTGAGGTGGACTGAAGAGCTGCCATATCCATCATGCCAATTCAGTTATACAATAAGTGTCTTCACCACATTCTCTTAGAGCCTCCTCCCATCAGTTTGAAATGTCACGGAGGGAAGGGTCACCATGATCTGCAGAGTTACCACTTCACATGTTAAACTGGAAGATAATGAATATCAACATTTGAAACCATTTGTCATGTATAATGTAGTGACAACCCCATTTCTTGGTAGACACTACATAAGGGGTTTGTGTTCTCAAGATGAGGAACTTCAGGAAATTGAGGGATACATGAATTCGGGTTTGCCTCTCAGGCACTGTGGCCATGTTCAACCCTAATATGTGGTATGTAATGAATTATGGCTCGTTGATAATTGTGTGGTAAAGGGAAAAAGAGTCATTATTTGACAAGCTATTAGAGCCGAGAGTTTGAAACTTCTGCACCAAAGTCACTAGAAAATAATTTGTACCAAGTTGCTGCCATTGATAATAATATAACGAGTTTGATCAGAGTGTATCTCCTGGAAATCAATTGCTAATGATAGCAAATTTGAGGCATTCTTCCGGAAGTGGGAAGACAAAAGATTCTTGGGAGAGGCTTCATATTGGTTTTATAAAATTCAGAAAACTATATTTTTATTTTACTAGGACAGTTATTCGAAATGGAGCAAGGCGTGGGTAATGTCAATGTTAGATGCTACTTTTCAAAATGATTTAAATGTGTAAAGTGTACTTACTCATCTTGCATAGTGGAGGCCTAAATCTCCTGTCACAGCCATCTGAACATATACCTCTAACTTTGTCACAGTAAGTATTTTTTGAACAATTTCCACATTGTTCCTTACAGTTCACCCCAAATGTACCATCTGGACAAGCTGAAAAGCATAAAAGAGAAATTATTCATGGAATATTATAATAAAAATGTCAAAATAAAAGCATGACAATGTTCATTCAACAAAAGTGGTTTAATATAGTCCTGTGGAAATATTTTTTATGTGGTAGCATCAAATGTTCTGGGACAGGAGCCATATCTTAAGTCTAGGGTCATTAAAAACAATGTCCTTCAGCAGCTATACATCTGTGTTAATGATATAGCTACATAAACCTTCTTCAAATATCCCAAACAGTGCTTTCAGATTGACATAGATGTTCTGACTCGAAATGTAGCAGTAATAAGGAACAGGAGTGCAACAATTTTTATTCTTATGGATGATTTAACTTAAGAGTTTTCTGATAGCAAAGGAATTCTAGAAATGTACTTAAATTCATTCCTGAGAAGTACAGCTTGGCTTAACAGTGGTTCATCAAAGCAATCACTACAGCCAATCACATTCTAATTTACAAAGGCAATGAGTCAGGGTTGGAGAATGTTTTAAGTGTTTACAGTCACAGCCAATCACACATCCATGTTCAAAACATGTTCTTTTACAAAGGTAGAAGAGAATGGCAATGTTGAATGTGCTCAGATCATCTTGGACACCAGACACACATGTATTTCAGCATTCATTCACATTATTTATTGTGCCACCCATACTGGATAAGTTAAAATTCCAGCATTGAAAATTTTGTAACCTTCATTCTTGTGTCACACTGAATAAAATTACCAATTGGGAACTTAGTTATTACAAATTTGTATGAACATTATTGCATAAAGACACTGCAGATGTTTCATGTAACATTATTAATATGGAACACTGTAACATCAAGTATATGACATCATTATTCAGAGTATCACCTCCCGTATAGTAATCACCACCATTACAATCCACAGCCATCAGTGCAACCAACCTAACACTTCCTTTAGCAACCTAGAAGTCTTAACTACAGTAACATCTTCTGTCAATACCTAAAGTCACTGTGCAGTAAACTTGAGTTATGAGATCCCAATACCTTGAGTAAGCCAGAAGGTATGCTAAGACTTGTTGTACAGCCATTCAAAACACTTCTGGAAAAAACACATACCTCATGCAACAGGATGTATTTTAGCTACTTGCACCTCTGATGCATCCTTGAAGTGACAAGCCATTTGGCAGAAAGGCGCATGTGGATAAGGAGGGCATAGTAGTGAGGAAGAACAAAAGTAATGTGCCTACGCAGTTGCTGCTGCATATGCACAGGGCGCAGGGCAATCATGCTAGAACACCCAATCTTTGGCCACCCATATTTCATGACACTTCAAGGAAATTTCCTTCTACAAACAACAAAAATTCTTGCGCCATTCTTTACTGACCACAGAATAATTATACTAAAATTGCAATTTATGAAATCAATACCATCAATTAAAAGTCTACCATTTTAAAACACAATACCCTGCCACTGAAGAAAGTCTCCAACACAGCCTTCCTTTCGAGGAATCCTGATGGAGCTTCATGGCTTTCAGAGGTGATAAATTTCACATGGAAAACTGGTGTTTAATTTAAGAATCATTATGCCCAAATATTTCCATTGCCAACTTCCCTACTTCTAATCAAAGCTTAATATTAGCCTGCTACTCTAATCTAAAGCATTAAACAAATTTGAAACCTTGCATAAACAACACTATCCTAATTTTTCTATACCCACAAACATGTTCACAACTACCTTCAATTTAGCTCTCTTCCACAAATTTTTAAACTTTCACACATCTTCTGTAAAGTCCATTACATGTTTTACAGTGTAGAACACATTACAGGGAAGTTGTGTTTCTTTGCACATTATACCAAATTGTTTAGAAGATATATTAGTATCCTTTCCTTCACATGCATTCAATCAATGTAATAAATAAATTATGAAATTATGAAAATGGAGATGCAGTTGGTATGCATCTCCAAAACGTTGGCATCTCCTGGCCAGTCTATATAGTGCCAGAACCCAAAAGAATATTAACAACATCACCACCACCATGCATTGCTATATATGATTATACATTACTAAATGTTGTTGTTCTAATTGTATTCTATTTATTTTCATAAAATATAATATTCTAAGTCTGTTTGCTAATGGATTTCCATTTTACTCTGTCATACTTGGAAATGGGGATTACCCCATTTGATCCACATAATAGTCACAGACTGTAATACAGCACACATTTTAATTTGTTGTTAATAAAATATCTTCAACTGCATAGCTTTGGTTGAAATGAAGTGCTGTGAACACATGTAACATGTCATTTCAAATTATTTTAAACAATTAAACATTTAAATTTTGTTTCATTGTGAAAGCTCTTTCTTCTATACTTTATTTTAGACAAAACAAATAATGATAATTTTAAACAAACTCCAAGACTGGATGACAGTTTTAACAGGTGAAGACCATAGAAATCATAATGGAGGAAAAAATTAAATAAAATGATAACAAATTTTAATATGAAGCAGCTTAAAATGAAACAATTTCATGCTTACGTGTTTCACATCTTCGACCCTTGTATCCAGGATTACAGAAGCAGGTGGTTTCTTGACTTGTTGGTTGACACAAAACAATGCCACTACCACAGGGTTCAAGTTCAGGAACTGGCAACCTATCACAGCTTGGTGTGCAGTCAAGTCCACAACCTGAATGACAAATGCACTTTAGGATGAAATCTTGTAGAAGGTGGCATTTTAAAACCAGAGTAGCTGGGAGACATTTTCCATCAATTATAATCATAAACTTTTTATTGTGTTATATCCTGTATTATCTAACTTAGTTGTCAATTATGAAATTTATCACAAACAACTCATTACATAAACATACTCAGTCATTAAATACTTATCTCATTACCACATTTAGGGAAAGGTTGCTATTCATCTATCAACAGATCAATTTTTTCAATATATTGCCAATTGTTGTTTGAATAATTTACTGGTATCATAAAAAAATATGTAGCAAAAAAGACATATTGTTTTCATCATGTTCCAAATTTGTAGTCACATAAATTTAATGAAGCATGTGTTTGCCTTGTTCTGTTAGTTTTTTGTTAAATATTGCTACTGACATTTGTAAGATACAGGTATTGGGAAGAAGAAAGAATGGAATGAGTTTTGTCTTCAATTACAAATGAGGTCATGCACTTCAGTGCAACTCTTAGCACATTTTCTATATTAAAGACTGTGCTATAGAGGCATGTGGAGTGTAACAACTGATTTGTGGTTAAATGTAAAGAAATTATACATACATAACATCGTTTTACATTTCATGGATCCATGAGTTAGTCAGATGAAAATAGGATGTGGAATAATCCATAATATCATACAGGCCATACACATTACAAGTAAAAATCTGACTATTATATGAAACTTGATCTGTTTACCACTCTAAGTAGAAGAAGAAATTAAAACCATGTATTCAAAGTTGAGTGTACAAGTTTAGACTAACACCAACTGATTTGCATGCCATTGCATATCAATTTGCTATAAGAACACTATTCCAACCACATATTTGGTGCAAAAAAAATTGTCTGTTGAGAAAGGGTATTGTTCCTTTATGAGAAGCTGCTTTAATTTCTCTTGAAACATTAGTGTCTACACATACACAGAGTAAAAATTGTCTTACATAGGAAAGACTTTGTGAATTAAAAAGGCACAGGAAAGAGTTAAAATCGGTAAGTTCTGAATTATGTGTTCATTAATAGAAGGGTTTTTAAGATGTATTCATGACAAAACCACATAATAAAACACAACATTCAAGTATATGCATAAAGAATCAGTTTGGCAACACAACCAAAATAGCAGTTGCAGAAAGAATTTCTATTAAATTTCTCATTTATGGTCTGGATAGAACAGCTTACAAATCTAACTGCAGATGTTACTGTTTGGGAGTCATCATCACTGCCATATAGTCTTGTGGCTTGTTAGTCTCATGCTATTTCTATATAAATTGCCAGAATCATTTTCTTTTTAAGCTTGTGTAAATACATGCAACATTTTAATTTACTTGTATGTCATGAGAAATGCACGAATTAATGCTGTTAAGGCTAGATGAAAAATTAAAAAGATGGTAGACACTGTGAATTCTTCTCCAACTAATTATCCCTTCAATACTACCTTCACACATCAAAAAGTTAATGTAAAAATTACATACAAAACAAAGAAGTACTTTCTGTTCAGAAATAACTAATGTAAAGTTGTATTATTTCTTGAAACTGTGACTATGCACAAGTGTCCACAGATATATGAAGCGAACAACTCTATTTAAAAATATTTTTATAATTAATTTCTAGTTTTTATTTCATAATACCCATTAGGCGTAAAGACTCGCCACCTCATAAGCCATACTTAATTCTGAAGTAGGATACCTAAATCCTTACTCTTTACCACTTACAGAACTAGTTCACCTGTGATCATCAAAGCAACATTATCTATAGATATAAAACTGTGTAACAAATTACTGTACATTACCCGTGAAATATTGATCTGGCTCTGTAAGAGTGAGTACCGAGCTTGGGTACTTCAGTGGGTGACAGGATAAATCTGTTCCAGGGGAAATTGTCACTGTAGATACATGAAATTCACCTGCCAAAATAAAAGGACTACACTAGAATATTTCATTCCTTTAAATATGTTGGGTGTGTTAAGAGTAAGAAAAAATCATGAGTACACTTTTGTATATTTTAATCTTAAGATTCTTTGATATCAGATGGAAGCCTGTCTAGGACAGAGTTCACTGACCACCTCACCTAGACACTGCTCCTATTTGGCTGCATAAAGACAAGTGCATGGAGTTATGAGAACTGGCACAGGTATAAATACACATGTAGCCGTGTCACTAATTACATCAACCCTGATGATGGAAGTAAACACAGCCTCTAAAATGTTTGATTACAATACCATTCTCACATGAAGACTTCAGTATATTTTGTTATATATTCAACACACTGAAAAAATGTTTCAAATAAAAGTTGTAGATCTAAATGTGGTCTACATTTGATGTTATATGTATTTACAAATTTTGTACTTTCTGAGAAAACTGTAAATTGTAAATTTCAGCACAACTTCAAGTAAATAAAGTACAGTCCCTCTATACATTTAGTTCAGCCTCTGAGTATCAGATTCCATCAACATCTTTAGTATTCCCAGAGATCAAACACATGGACATATAGGAAGACGTAGTTTTCCCAGTACGTATTTTTCTTATAAACTATGTGCAAAAATTGCAAAAATGATTTCAAGTGTGGGGTTGAAATAAACAATTTCTGTTACATATACATTTATGTCAATAGAAAATAAGGTAATATTCCTTTGCTTACCTAATGGATTACATTCTCGGACACTTCCCATGGCAAAAACTTCACTCTGAATGTCAGAAATAATGAGCCTCATCCAATTGTTCCATGGCTCAGTTAGATTATGAATAATTCGTTCCTCGTGCCAAGTATCCTATAACAATGCTCATCAGTTCACAACACATAACTCACACATAAACTAGAGCAAAATCTTGTGATAATATAAGTGACAGAATATGGAATATAGAAATTCAAGTTCTAACGTTCCAAAGTTGCCTGCATTTACTAATAATGGGCACTATAAAAATTATTTCATGTAATATTGCACACAAAAGCATAAGGTTCAAATATAAAAGCACTGTATATGCAAAATCACGACTATACATATTCTTGCAGCACTCTAATTGCTGTTATGTGATGTATCAACACTCTCACTGCTTCATTAAAGTTGTTTAAAGTTGATTTTCACTACTCCTATTGATAATTTGATATTCTAATTAATCCATCTTTTAAAGGTTGAAAGTTATGTATACCTTAGACACATCAAATTTATTGTAAAAGAGAGCAGCACCAACTTACGAGAACCACAGTTCATGAAGATGAAGACATTTTTTCCCCTTCAGGGTTAGCTTACAACACTAGCTGGATGATTAGTGTACTGTCTGTAGAGGTCATAAAGAATTTTATTCAGTGCTAAAGTAGCAGAAAAAAGAAAATCTGTCACTACTAATTCTAGACACCCACAAAAGCCATCTTTCTATTGAAGCAATAGATGTTGCAAAAGACAATGGGTTTATCATGCTAAATCTACCCTCACGTATCTCAAGTAATGGTACTAGTGGGTTATCGGGACACATCGCTTTAAAAATAGGTTAGGTTAGGTTAGGTTAATGTGTGTGGATAAATGACATATACTTGAAAGTTATTATATTTTTATTTCAATAAATAACAAATTATTATATTTTATTTGGATATGCAGGTCCAGATATTTGACTCTCCCGTTTTGTGTCCCGATAACCAACAAGTACCCAAGTAATCTTCAGCCTCTGGGTGTGGAGGTATTCTATTCATTCAAGGGACATCAATCAGCATCACTAACATCACAGGTTGGAACAGAAGCTGTCGCACTTTTCAGTTTTTGTGACTCAACACTATCGTAATTTTCACCTTTTTCAACACTTTCACGCTTCCTTTTTACAATAAATTTATCCATGTTGCAATACGGAAAATGAAAGTAATGATTACTGTCGTGGTTTCAAGAAGGAACTGAGTGAATGATGACTAATGTGCACTTATGATTGATCCGTGTGTTAAGAAGAATTAAACAAACCGAACCTGCATTTCACAACAATGACCACACACCACAAAAAGACATTAGGATGGAACAGCAAAGTCAAGTAAAATTAAATTAACTTCGTAAATTACTAAACAATAAACATTATTCGCAGAGCCGGTAACGTACTACATATCACGACTCGACACATCACGAAGCTTGCAGACATTTAAGCCCGACTTAAACTGATCACAGAATTAGATCCGACGACTTGTTGGAGCTGTGATACTAAACTGAAGAGCATTTTGCAAAAATGAAATTGAAAGAGCAAGACCAGGCAAAATGTTTTGGTGTTGTTACAAAAACATCATTCGGTATTTCCGAGTCATAAAACCAGCAACCACTTCCCACATTTCTCTGCCGGCAGGGGCAATTGTCAAAGAACAGGGTATTATGAAGGAGTGCATCTGTTTGTTTATTGCCCCATCAATATATTGAAGTAGGTTCATTGCATGGTTAAAAGAAGAGAAAAACAGTTTTAGGGAAAACGTTAATCTCGCCAAATAGTGTTCAGTCAGGTTCCAAAGCACTATGTGGAATAAAAAGAAACAAGCCACCAGATAAGAATCGCATAAAAGTGAGAGAGAGAGAAAAATGGCGCTCCCAAATCGAATGTCCTTACGTCCGGTTCTCCTGTGGCTAACCCTAAATCTGGCCTTGATTATTCAGTGTTTATCATAATTTTTTTTTAAATTTCATGTACCCCCTAAGATGTCTTCGCGTACCCCCAGGAGTACGCGAAGACATCTTAGGGGTTACGTGAAATTTAAAAAATATATATATTATTTTATAATAAACACTGAATAATCAGTAATGTAATTTATTTAATTTATTTTAGGTGTAGATTATATATTATTTATAACTTGAATTATACACCAATAACCCTGGGGGGTACAAAGTTGAAGAGAAATTATATCTGGGGGTACTCGAACAAAAAAGGTTGAACACCACAGGTCTAGTGAACAGTTTAATGGCTTCCTTCACACGTGCCGTGTGTAATGCCCGGTTCCGTAATTTATCTACCAAAATTGTGAATTAATAATATTCAGTGAATGTGAATTTATATCACCCAATATGACAAATGTACATGTTGACAATGATTATCTATTTTCTTTAATTGAAGCGAGGTCAGTGCTCTGGGATAAAACAATTGTTGTGTACAAAGATAGAAACGAAACGAAAAATGCTTGGAGGGACTATTGTTAAAACTAAACTTTCTACAATCAAATGAATTATGAATTGTTCTACAATTAAATATAGGTATAGCTATAAAGATATGATTAACGTTCATGAAATTAAATCTTTGAAAGCTGCCATTTCAGAGATCCAACAGGTGTTAAGAAGTAGTCAGCTAAAAGATTTCTCACATTGTTTCCTGATATTCCGCCGCGCACTACTTCTTCACCACGTATTTTATCAAGTCCTGTGATTGTCAATGTATCCTCTGCCTCGTAGCCGTCTCTCTCCCGAACAAAGTTGTGTAAAACAACATAAGCCTTGACAATGTGTTCAGCAAAATCAGGTTGCAAGTTTATAGCTCGATGAAAGATCCTCCATTTATTACTTAATATTCCAAACGAGCATTCTATGTACCTTCGGGCTCTAGAGAGATTGTTTTACTGTCAACTTCTCCATGTTTGTGCGTTTCATTGTGGTGTTAACTTCTGTTGCAGGTTCAATTTCATTAGTATTACAGTAAACTCTACATTATCAGGGTTAATGAAGTGGAGAAAATGTATGAATATTAAAAAACATGGATAATACGAAATTTTTGTTTGGTGCATTTACAAATTGTCACAAGTCACTTTACTGTTATTTTACTGTAACCGTCCAGACATTAGAGTTCTGTGGAGCAACGCTGCAAGGGCGAGCTGGCTGAAATTCTTTAAAAACAAAGAGTCGTCTGTGTTAAGTAAGAAAGTAGGGGGAGGACTCACATGTGGTGTCTTTGGGGGAGTGAGCTAGCAGTGGTAGTTGGAAAGTGTGTCGTGGACAGTCGTGGAAAGTTTCTTGACGGTAGAGGTTAAGATTTTTATAAAGTTGTGTAACGAAGAAAATACATAATAAAAGTATAATTAGATCAACAGTTAATTATTATCTCTTAGTTATTCACTCGATCCCCGTGAACGACCCTGAGCCCCTGGCTAGCAAACAACTAAACAAGGACGGTTATATTACACACTAGTAGTTTGTGATGGCTACTTGCTTTTATGAACTGAATAGACTCCTCCTCATAGCAGTACAAATTCTTGTGACAGCCTAATTGTCACTGTATTTGAACCTTATGTGACCCATGTAGTCTAGAAGTGAAATGCTAGTGCCATGTAGTGCCATTATGACTCATGATCACTGATTTCTCCATCATCACCATTCTGATCCTTCCTTTTCCCTTCTTTCCTGTTTCTTTTATTTTGTGGTGCATCGACAATGTCTGTGTCTGTCAATACGAGGTGCGATCGGAAAGTTTCAAGACTGTGTCAATAGCGGGCGAACCGGATGTAGTACGAGCTTCTGCCTTTAGGGGGTGCCGCCTACATTCATAGTGAATCAGTGTGCCAGCTGGCATCATCGAATTAGCATTGGTTTCTTAGTTACGGGCGTTTTGGTAGTGCATTACACCGACCCTCCTGCGATTTCGGAATGGCGTGTGCATCAAATTTTGCCAAAGACTCGCCAAAACGGCTACAGAAACCTATGAAATGCTAAAGCAAGCATTTGGGGAGTCCGCAATGGGTCGTGCACAAACGTTTTTCTTAGTTATGGGCGTTTTGGTAGTGCATTACACCGACCCTCCTGCGATTTCGGAATGGCGTGTGCATCAACTTTTGCCAAAGACTCGCCAAAACGGCTACGGAAACCTATGAAATGCTAAAGCAAGCATTTGGGGAGTCCGCAATGGGTCGTGCACAAACTTTTGTGTGGCATTCACGTTTTAAAAATGGCCGAACCTCTGTCGATGATGCCGAGCGTTCTGGACGACCATCTTCGAGCGCAACGCCCGAAAATGTTACGAAGATCGACGTCGTACCATCAACGACTTGTGCGACATTTTTGGGATAGGCTATGGGACCTGTCAGCTGATTCTAAAGGATGAACTCCACATGCGACGCATCCTGTCAGAGGACTAGAAGCAGAATCGACTTCTCGTTTGTCAGGAGCTCCAAGATCTTGCAAGAACCGACCCCAACTTCCTTTCTAAGCTCCGTGTGACTTCTTCCTCTTCCCAAAGATGAAAATTCAGCTAAAGGGAAGGAGATTTGAGACGACAGAAGAGATTCAGGCAGAATCGCAGATGGTGCTTGACAGGCTGACAAAGAAAGATTTCCAGGGATGCTTCCAGGCTTAGCAGCGGCGCTGGGATCGTTGTGTTCACTCCCAGGGGAACTACTTCGAGGGTGATGGATGAATTTAATACCTGAGATAAGTGTACGGGTTTTTATAGGCGCAGTCTAGAAACGTTCCGATCGCACCTCGTATGTTCAAAGCCTACTTCACATTGTGGACCTTAAGTTAAGTAGCTGGAAAAATAAGATTGTACTGAGAGCAAAACAAAAGCTCAGTTTTATTAAAAAATCTGAGAATAGGGAAGTTCAAAATTCTTAACATGGTGCTATAATAAGCTTTGAAAACATAAGCATAGATATGACTGAAGAATGGCTATAAAGCAATGTTCACTATGACTTTCACCTACCTGATATACAGTACAAGGTAACAGAACTGACTGCAGGTTACTAACGTTTGAAAGAAATTTATATTTTGGACTGTAATATTTGAAGAAGACCACCTGTAGCATTCCTTCCCTCCCATGACCACTAGAATAAACCTCACCATTCCACCGCCAATACTAAATGTGAATAACCAAGAAAGTTACTGTTCAGCCACATTTTCTGTGGACATCATGGCATAGAAAGAGGATGAAGGCTCACTTTACATGTCTGCGTTTAAGTAAGAAAAACATACGAATAGTTACACATAGATATTCCACAAACTGGATAATGTCCACACAGATAAATGGAAGCATACTGTACCTGTAATTTTTAAAGGGGAAATTAAACTAGAGAAATTAATAAGTTTATATTTGAGTATTAAACCATACTGGGGCAACTGTCAGATTATTACTCACTGATGCAAAATCTGGAGGACTGATTTTTGGAAAATGAAACCATATTATAGGTACCAAGCTACTAGTTACAAAATACATATAATTCCATCAATATAGCAAAATTTACCAGCATCATTTAATTTTCAATACAATAACTTACAGATTAATTAGACTTGGTAAATTTCCTGTATTTAACTGATTTTCTTGTTATTCCTTTCCACCATCTAGGGTTTGCAGACCTGTGGTTTTAATATAGTTATGTGCCGTACTGAACTGAATTATGTAATACTGACCTTACTGGGTTTCAAATTTTTCACAAACGTGTGTATGTTATTGCTTGCAGACTCTATGTAAAGCTTTGCAGCTGTGAATCCTCTCACTGCTTTAGAATAGGTGTAATACTGAAGACTCACACAGAGCTGCGAAGAGCGTGGATGAAACCAAGGACTTGTCAGCTTGTCCTTCATCAATCCATAAGTATCTGGATTTAGATATTGAATAAGAATGAATGAATTAAGTATACTTGGAAGACCATTACAACTAAGACTGAAATAATAGAGACCCCTGGAATGACTGAAAACAAGATTGTTCAGTCAGGTGCTAGTATAGAGGGAAGATGTAGCAAGAAATCAGAAAGGAAAGCCTTTTTGTCCATAGATCCATATAAAACATATAATGATAGAAGAAGAAGAATAATAATAAGAAACTTGGTTACTAAATATATAACTCCATAAAACAATGTGGCACAATATAAAATACCATTCTGTTTTTTTAGCACATGGAGATATTGTTTCTTGCTTGTATGCTTAATTTGGCCTGTTAAGTGCAGGCTTATAATAAAATATCAATAAACTTCGAGCATTAATAATAATAAACCAATTTACATACTGATTTGTTTTCTTTGTTTAATTTGGTTATAGGACAAAAGAAATAAAGTAACACACATACTAATGGCTGACAGCTGATTGTGCACCAAACAAGAAATGGACATTGCAGCTGCTGAATGATGGTGATATTATAATCAGGAGTTCAAGAATGTTGTTATCAAAGAATGTGCATGCATGTGCGCGTGTAGGTTTTGATTGTATTGTAATAATATTTAAAGTAATACACACAAACAGTACCAGTTAAAATTGTTTCATAACTAAGGAGTGGAAGACACATTGAAATACAGAACAAATTAAACATGTTTACCAACTTCTACAATATTTACTTATGTTGCTAGATATCTGACTAACTCTACAAGAGGTGACGGTGCCACAGGGATCTTATTGTAAATGTTAACTGCTTTGAACTATTTGGTTGAATACCAGCACTAAGATGGAATATTACAACATTAACATTGGTTGTTATGTTCATAGAAATGGAAGCATAAAATTAATAAAATATTCCTGATTAATATTATTGTGTGATATTTATATAGTTAAGGATTTCCCTACTTATGGGACTCAAATTTCATTCCCATGTTCACATGAGCCCACTACTAGTCCACATTCTGAGCCAGATTAATTTAGTCCACACCTTAGCATCCTGTGCCTCTGAGACCCATTCTAATATTATCCTCCCATTCACATTTAGGTCATCCGAGTGGTGTCTTCCTTCGGGCTTTCCAACAATAAAATTTGTATGTATTTCTCATGTATCCATGTATGCTACAAGTCCCAACCATCACATTTTTAGAGGTAGACCAAACACTAAGCAATTAGAGTATGCTGTTGTAATGCCCCTGATGTTGGACTGTGCTTTTCTGTGTTAGAAACTGTACCAAGCAAAACTGACCCTCAGATGGTATATTGAATAATGGGGGAGATAAGTTGGTTGACCTGTTTTTGTGTGCAAGTATCGCAGGAACAAAGAACTCTATAGTTGTTTACCATGAAAGTTTAAAATGCGGGCAAGCAGACAGCACAGAGATGTGTGTCTTTCCTGGAGCAGACATTGGCTGGATTATAGTATTGCATGAGAACCTGTGTACATCAGAAATTCTCATGCAAATGCCATTAACATTCCTTTGGAGCAGAGAGAAGAATATGGATAATCAAAATCAATGGTGTGTTTAAAGGAGATCTTTTTGATCTTACACAATTCCACTTTATCATTCCCCTCAGTAGTGCCAAGGAAATAGCATGCAAATCATATATTTTCAAAGAAGATTTGCTATGGTTGTATACATTAGTACAATCAGCATATTTTCTTCACACAGAAAAATCTCATAAAGGAACAAAAGCATTAAAATTTTGCTTAAATCATATCTTAATGACAATACTAAATTACTCACAATTCTGGATTCGAAAGTAAGCACGTGTTTTGTGCACCTTGTCCACTCCGAACATTTATAAACTCTGGAGACGTTTTATTAATGTCTTTATACTGAAGAAATGGCTGATCCTCACCAGCAACTTTCACTTTCAGTTCTTGATATTCTTGTGTGGTAGTGTAGGTTATTGTCACATGAACCCACTTTTCATTTGTCACCACACGGGTCTGATGAAAGAATTAACTCAGTTTATAAAGGTGGAAGAAACTTAGTGGGCAAATAAATATGAATGTGTATGCAAACTAAAATGTCTTTCTCTATGACGCACTATTCTGATCCTCCTTCCTAATATTGAACCATTATATGTTATTTGTTCTGGTAGCTTGTGTTGATATTTTCTGAACTTCAATTAAATTATATTAAGAATACTTTGTTATGTGAAGAGTGAAAGATATACACACTTGGGAACAACTTGTATTCTCTGTAATTCTCTGTCCTTTATGACAGTATCCTTGTCATCTAATGACTCTCTAAGTAACCTCTTGACATCTAAAATTTATATTTGGGGATTTTTCTTATTCATGTTGTATACAATATGCCATGGTGAGTAACAAAACAGAATGTATTGTTTCTCTATGATGATGTCCTCTGAGAGTATTAGAATCATAGTAATCAAACTACAAGAGTCCCCATTAGAATCAAGGGAAACGTCTAAGATTGACACCAGCCATTCATCAAACAATTTTGTTTTCTAAATTTAATATCTTTTCACTGTTCAATGAATTGCCAAAAAAAAAAAAAAAAATCATGGTTTATTATGGAGTGAAAATAGGTAAAATAAACTAATTCAATTGTGTCAGTGTTACTGGCATGCAACGTAGATCTATCTGCATAACATGCTCCACTTAACATAGGTATCAGTTTATCAATTTTATTTTTCTGATTTAGATGGTTATCAATTTGCAAACATTGGAATTTTTTATCTCTGTTTCTGTGATAGGAATAATGTTGAAGCCAAGAAACGGAAGAAATTTATCTTCAAAAAATTAAATAACATCTCTCCCACTTGATGTGAATTTAAGCTTTCAGTAATTTTTAGAAAGAAATTAAAGACATTATCAACTGTTCCTTGATCCTTTATTTTCTATTCCTTGTAAGAATAAATGACATCTGTGCCGTTAAATGTATTTTTCCTACCTCACCTTATATGATGCACCATATTCTTTTTGTTTCATTACCATTCATAATATCACATAATAATCCACATAAACTGAAACAACTCTTACAATCACTGGGATTTTAGTATGCTTTTATGAAGGATATTTCTTGCTGTAGTTTCAGGTTGACAAATAGGTGCAGTTACACATATCAACCTGCTAAAAGCTTCAAACTACTTTTTACATTAATACTTACATAGTTTACATAAACTGGTTCTTTGCACTGTCCTGTTGGGTAATCTTCCTTATTGACACCATCAGGACATCGTCTGATTACACTTCTGATCTGACTAGTGTACCATCCTCCAAGAAGAATCCAGTAACATGCTGAACTGAATGGATCTGCACCCTTGCATAGCGTAATATATGCATCATGTTCAGCACTCACTGACACTGTCACTTCCCAATATGATTTCTCCTTTGGAAGGCGAACATTGTTGTTATGAGAAAATTCAGACTTCCCACTGGTTTGAATAACGGGTAAGTCTGTAAGAAAATAAAATATATTTAGAAATTAATGTTCTATGTCCGTACAGTGAGCTCAACATATGCCTTGATAACATGTGGAGCTTTACATAAAATACTTCACTGAATGATAGTATGCACAGTAATGTATTTAGTTACACGTGCTGAGCCAGACATGTAATAATTTATGTTTTATTAATTCATATTTATCCTGTATGATTAAATGGTCACTAATGATCAGATGTGTTCCAGATGAGTAGTGATGTGAGCTGTGGTCAAATAAGAAAATTGAAGAGGCACATTTTACATATTATAATTAGCAATACTTAAGAAATTGGTATTATATTAAAATACTGATGCACATTTGTGATGAAGTTCTATATTCCTTCAGACTTGTCATTGTACAAGTTTTCAGGATCCCTGTAATCACAGCCAATAAAATACAGGTCAATACACAAAACTATATTTGGGTGTTAAAATTTAAAATTTAAATGTTAAAATTTTAAATTTTAAATTAGCGCTATTCATCACTATAAGGATGTTACATTTGAGCGCTTTCATTCATTTCACAACATGTTTCGATGTAATACATCATCTTCAGGTGTTGTTTTTTATTTAAAACTATTCCATATTATAATGCATGCCTTTCAATAATTTATTATTGTATTATGTGTTTCGCTGGTCTTCTCGTTTTTCCCATCTTATGTTTGTTTTGAATTATGCTGTAAACAAATGTGATAAAATGGGAGTTATTCATTTTTATTTTTATTTTTATATATGCAAATAAGTTTGGAATATGAATTATATTGTAATAGTAAGAACTCAATAACATACCATAAGTCGTGTTGTGTGGTTTATCACGTCTGCAGGGTTGACTGTCTGTTCAAGTACTGGTTTCGTGTATAGGAGCGGGTGGTATATATAGGTAGATGGGGTCATGTGCTTGGGTCAATGATTTGTACTGTGTTAAAAATCGGGTTGTTCAAATATAGGTTAGTGTCGTTTAAAGCAATATTTTGTTTATGTGTCCGTTGTATATGGTATTTTTCAATGGTTTCCCTATGGCGTTTATTTTGTACTATTTTTATAATATCTAAAGTTTGTTCTATTGCCCCATATGTGTGTCCTGTGTTTAATATGTGTTTTGCGTAGGCGGAGTGATCCTTATTCTGTTTGATAGCTGTAATATGTTCTTTGTGCCTTTGTTTAAATGTGCGTCCTGTCTGGCCTATGTAGGTTAAAGGACATTCCATGCATTTCAATCTATATACGCCAGGTTGTTCGTATTGCTTTTCTGTGTCATGTTGTTGTTTTTGTTTTAGTATGTTTTTTATTGTATTTTTTGTTCTATATGCAACTTTTATATTATTATTTTTGAATATTTTAGATATGTATTTTGTTTCTTTACCTATATATGTGAAGGTGGCCCATTTATTTTGAATATTTTCGTTTTCATTATTATTTTCATTTTCATTTTTTACCTTGTTTTTTGGTTTTTGTTCATAATTATTATAGCCATTTTCTTTTAGAATTTGTTTTATTATATTGCATTCAGTTTGTTTGTTTTTAATGGTTATAGGGTATGTATTTTTTCTATTTATTAGGTAGTTTATAGCTGTTTTTTATGTTCGTTAGGGTGGCATGAGGATGCATGTATTATTGTACTTGTACTAGTAGGTTTTCTGTATATTTCGAATTCAAAATCGTTACTATTTCGTGTTATGGTTAAATCTAAGTAATTTAATTTATTTTCTTGTTCTGTTTCCATAGTGAATTGTATATTTTGATTTATATTATTAAATTCGTTTAGAACGTATTTTATATTGGTCTTTTTTGTGTCATAAATTATAAATACATCATCTACATATCTGCCATAATATTTAATTTGATTTTTGTTTAATATGTCTACAATGTGATTATGTTCAATACATTGTAAAAATATTTCAGATAGTATACTGGATGTTGGTGCACCCATTGGTAAGCCTGTGTCTTGTTTCCAATAATTATTATTAAATTTAAAATAATTTTGATTGATAATGGTATTGACTATAATTATGATTTCGTTTATTGAGTTTTTATTTATATTGTGTCTATCTAAAATATTATTTACAATGTCTTGTAACATATTTGTTGGAATGTTAGTGTACATATTGTTTATATCAAATGAGCAAATTTTTATATCCTTATTACTATCAAATTTCAATTTCTGAATTTCGTGTATAAATTCGGTTGAATTTTTTATGTTAAATGTGTTTGGTAAATTACAGTATTCTTTTAAAATATTAGCTATTTTATTGCTATTTTATATGCAGGGGCAGATGTCCAGTCTAATGGAGTATGGATTTTTGTGTAATTTTATTTGTCCTGTAATAATAGGTGAAGATGCGCTATGATTGTAGTATTGTGTTTTAGGAGGATTGAAAATATTATTACATTTATGGGTTATTTTTTGTATTTCTTTTTGATATTTTTGGGTTGGGTTTTGTGTTAATTGTGTGAACGAATTTTTATTTATAAATTGGGTAATGTATTGTTGGTATTGTTCAACGGATAGTATTATGATGGTCTTCCCTTTGTCTGCTTGTGTAATTGTTAATTTATTTTGTTCTAACTTTTGTTTTATTCTTTTTATTGTCTTCCATTCATTTATGTGTGTTTTATTGTATTGGTTGTTTTTGTTTTGTTTGATTAATTGTTCGATTTTATTTGCTATTACATGTCGTATATGATCTTGTTTTTGTATGGGAATGAAATTTATGGCAGTTTCTGCTTCGAATGCTAAATCCATAATCCATGTTTTTTGTTTATGGTGTAAGTTATATTTTAAACCTTTGTTTAATAAGTTATATTCGTTTTGTGTGAATTGAATATTTGTTAAGTTTTTAATACGACATGCGAAGGGGTGTAGTGCTTCATTTGATTGTGATATGTTATTGTGTTTGTTTTCTTCACTATTGTTTTTTAATTGTTTTATTTTATTATTTTGTTTAAGGTATAGTTTTGTTAATTCAATTTGAAGTTTTTGCGTTATTTGATTTTCAATATTTATCCAAGCTTCTTTCCATATATTTGCTGCTTCTAAATGTTTTCTGTATGTTAATATGTTTAGTGGTTGTTTTTGTTTTGTTTGATTAATTGTTCGATTTTATTTGCTATTACATGTCGTATATGATCTTGTTTTTGTATGGGAATGAAATTTATGGCAGTTTCTGCTTCGAATGCTAAATCCATAATCCATGTTTTTTGTTTATGGTGTAAGTTATATTTTAAACCTTTGTTTAATAAGTTATATTCGTTTTGTGTGAATTGAATATTTGTTAAGTTTTTAATACGACATGCGAAGGGGTGTAGTGCTTCATT